CCTACCGCGACACTTAGCGCACAAATAGGCAAAAGCTAGGAGTTGCAACTCTTTGTCCTCCCATAATCTATTATCTATAACTGGCAGAGAATGCTGAAAATGGTCTAAGCAGCAGCATTCTGTCGTTAAATAACCAGAATAACAGCTGTCTGAATTTGTGCAAAAAATTAATTCTGTAAATGGCTACTTGGCCCGGAATTGTCATTTTGACGGACTTAGAAGTATGCGTGTTCGCCGCCTGTCGACTAATCAGACAGCTCACCGATTCACCTACGGAAAAAAAAAAACATTTGAAGGTACCCACAATCTGCTTAAAAGTTAATTCTTTTCCGGAAAACTAAAGGATAACAAATCTCACGCGCCCGGCACACCCATGTACTAAGAAGTAGAAAGCGCAGTACGGGTCGTAAAGGCTCTATGAGGATCATATCAACAAAAAATTATAAACAATCCGTCCGGAGGACTGTAAACACCGACCAATACAGAAGAACGCTACATACAACCCAACATGTTCCTACGCATCTCTGGTATCTCTATAAATGAGACAAGTCCGAGTGCGGCTAGTTATCCAGCTCGGATTTTTGCTTGCTTTATAAGGTGCTTTGCAAATGCATGGAACACTTGTAACAGGAAGAACCTAGCCCTCAATGCGTCTCTGCTTTTTACACACCCTCTCTCAAAATGATGTCACTAAACGAAAAAAAAATTTTTTGGCCCTCACAAATTCGATTTAAAACCTATCAAAATAAGAAAACTTGGCCGGAGAAGGAATTTTCAGAAGCCAGAAATGTCGAAATAAATTGGAGAATGTTCAAAAAATGCTTTCCTAAAATAGTAGTGAGCAAATGTAATGCAAAAACTGCTGTGCTTTTTCACATGGGACCTTAAAATAAAAAAAAAAAAAAGTAAAAATAAAAGAAAATACAGATGTCTGTCCCTGACATATTTAAACGCATTCAACTTTCGAAGGATCAAGTACCATCCTCCAAAAACTGGCGGTCCCCGGGTAATTTCGTGCCAAGAACAGCCACTGTTTAAACCTCCTTTCTCAGAATCAATGCAGTTCAGCATCGATCACTAAAAGCAGGCGCTTCAACAGCAGCGTTAATTCACTTTTCACAGAAATCATTCAAAAAATTACTTAGCAACAAATCGAACTCGTCCGAATCGACACTTTCAACATCACTACCATCATCGTCACCACCGTAAATGTCGTGCGCGACTTCGCCTTTTCGCTCCTTCTTCATGTTCATTTTCACCGATGCAAAGCGATGTAAAAACCTCTCATCGATGGGAATTTCATTTCTGTTCTTCTCTGCATACTCCTGATGAAAAGGATTTTTACGGTCGCCAAGGAATAAAGCCCGAGAAAGCCTAACTCCATCGGTACGCTAGTACCCCGTGCCAAATTGTATTGAAACGAATCAAAAAATTCCAAAGGGATCAGTTTTTCCACTGGCATATTCAGACCAACAGCTGACAACAAAAGACGCCAATTGTCAATTCACTAAGCTCGCTGCTACTAGTACTGCAAGTAAAAAAGCGCAAAATTTCGTCAACGAAATAAAGTACCTTCGACGTAACTGGAAGCTTTCGGATACCATGTGGATCGTAGACTTTTCGTCGGTAAACCTTGGCATTATCCGTGCCTTTTGTTTTCGGATTACGAAAAACAAATCGATCCAGGAATCGCATTTGTGTGAAATCATTCAACGGATCTCCATCGTACCGTACTGGTATACCCTGTTGTGAACACGCTTATATTACTCAGCTTTTATTTGGCATACATCATGGAAATAACAGCAAGGAGGACGGTTTCGAATAACCCCTCCACACATTACATAATGAAAGGGGCAATAAAAAAGCAGCAGTTTTGCGTTCTGTCAAAAATGAGAGCAATTTTGGGAGAAAAAAAAACCGAGTAACGACAAGTTTCTGTTTTGTCGGTGCGACCACGTACTTTCGCGATACTCATCGCTTGCATCCAGAAGAACACGTTTTTCGTGGTCAGAACTGCTCGAATTCCCAAAAACACAGTAAAAGGGGAAGTTCAAAAACAAGCAATATATTTTGCTTACACTGAGCAGATTCGAGGCAAACACGGCAACTGATGGATGATAGTGGGCGCTTAGCAGAGTTAATTCTGTTGCACAACTCTTATCAGCTCGGCAAAAAAGCGGATTCCTTGCCAATGGGTCGTATGATGTGGATCCAGTGCGTAGCACTGAAAATCATCAAAAACTAAAAAATCAAAAAGTGCACTGCGGCACACGAAAAGTCAAAAGTTTTTCCGCACTTCACTCTCACTGAAAAATAGAAGCATGAAACAAATAAAGGCAGCCAAGAACTAGTCTAGTTGTCGGCGCATCTAATTTCGTATAGGAAAATTCTTTGTTAGTAAGCTAAAAACAGCTTGAATCGGTGGAATTTTGCTAGGGAAGTGAAACTAATGATGGCAGAACTGGTGGCATTAAAAGCTCATTCGGAACACGGGTATGCGCCTATGAGGGGCGCCAATCAGCAGTAGAT